GGGCCGGGGCCGGGGCCGGGGCCAGGGCTGGGGCTGGGGCCGGGCGGCACCTTGGGGCGCAGTGAGGGCAGGCTCCGCCCAAGTCCAGGGCTGCCCTGCGGGGCACAGCCAATGCCAACAGCCTGGCGGGACGAGGCACCTGCCTGCTCTGCCTCTGCCAGCGACCCGGGGCCAGGCAGCCAAGCCGGGGTGCCTCTCGCCTGCGGGCAGGGAGCAGTGAGTCACTCGGGCCGGGAAGCAGTGGCTTTCCCATGTGATGCTATGGATGGGAGGAGGCGGGCCGGGTCTGCACTCCTCTTCCCACAAGCACCGCGTCAGCAACATCAAGCTGACGTGGTGCATGTGGGAACCTTGTCTCTTCCCCAGCCCTTCAGCAGCCATTAGGAAGCTGATGAGGAGGTGGGGGAGGGACAAGGGGCGGGAACAAAAGTAAACCATGTTTACTTTCATTTCCTGTTGCAGCACCGCAGGCCACAGAAAATGCCTTGGCGGGCCGCATGGCGGCCCGTGGGCCGTATGTTGGACAAACCTGCTGTAGCACTTCATGACCCAGCTGGGAGCGGTCCAAGCCGTGTCATTGGTGCCCACTTGGGCTGGAGGAGCTTAGGGATCTTCTCTGCAATGTCTCGGATTCTGGCTCTGTGGAAGCAGCAAATTTCCCAAGCTAAGGGGTTGGGGTGGCAAATTACCCCTTCAGTCCCCCTCAGGATGGAGTCTCCCATGTGTTAATCCACCTCTGGTTCCTGGTTGCTTGTTTCTTATTCCCGGATTCTAGTTCCTTTTCTGAAGATACTCATTACACAATTAAAGGTTTTTAGTAATGAATTAGGTGTGTTAATAAGTGACAATGTTATTACACTTAGCAAATTTGCAGATGTTTGCACTGGCAGTGTCTGAGTAGCTTCAGATTGGGGGAAGGCAGAAGATATTAAAAGAAGAGACACATGCTGGTGAGCCGACAGTCTCACCACTTGGAGCTTGGGTGTGTGACACTGTTAACATGAAGGCTCTGATTTTTCTGGAGCTTTTTCTCCTGCCCCTGGCTGCTCATGGGAAGATCTATGAAAGGTGCAAGCTGGCTGCAGTCATGAAAAGGCTTGGGCTGGCTAACGTTCCAGGATACAGTTTGGGAGACTGTAAGTCTGCTGCCTTGTGATTTTAACATGGTTTATGGGTGGGAAGGTGATATACCCTTTTCATAAATCCCAGGTAATCTAGTCTGTCCCTCCCCTTCCCCAATTAGGAGACCTAACTCAATCGGAAGTTTTTCCTTGTACCAGTCTAAGTTACTAGTTCCCCTAATTCCACCCCACCCTCTGTTCATCCCTCAGTCATTCCTTTCTCGGTTTGGTGTGTCCGAACCCTTCTCACTTTCTGCTGTATTATGAGCCTTACTGTAGCAGGACTGAAAGATGGTTCCATAGGAGTAAACAGGACACAGAGTGCAGAGTGCGGCATGAGGCCATGGTGGGAGCCCTGTTAACAGTAGAAGTACAACCAGTAGTGGCCCAAACCCTCATTTAGGATGTGTGTGGTATAGAGAGTATCCTTAGAGAATGGGATGGAAAAGGAGCATCATTGGAGACATTAGGGTGGTAGAGAGCAACAAGTGGGGAAAAATTGGAGAAAGGAAGCAAAAAGAACCAAAGAACTGGGAGCAGGGGCAGGGGGAGAAGAACAAATTACAATGCAATGTGTTTGGACTCCAGGAAAGAGAAAGGCCTTTCTTCACCGATTACCAGTAGCGATGAAGAAACCATTAAGAAACCAGTTTTTAAGAGTGATATACATGTGTTCTTATACAGAAAAATCAAATCTGCTGCTTGCCCAGGCAGCTCCACACATCTCAAACCCAATAAATCCCTTCCTATAACCAAACTAATTCAGCTTTATTTATGCTAAATGTGTAAGGAATAGGAATGTTAACCAACAGTAAAGATGAGCTAAGTTCCCCATAAAGATTTCCCACCAAATATCTCAGTCAGTGATGTGCAATTATACTTTTATCCAATTTGCTTCCTTACCCCAAATCTTGTCTACTCCTTGTGCTCTGCCACCTTGTCTCCAGTGAGGCTTCTTGTCCATCCCACTTTCTCTAATGATACTTTCTAAACTACACAAAATATTCTTTATTATTGAAAGGACAGGTTTGTGTAGACAGTCTCCTTCTAAGTATACCTTCATACATGTGGCAGTGGTACAGTAATAAGAGGAGGTCTCTTGGCTTTTGTTGACATGGGAGTATTGATACAGGGGAGTCCATCCCTAGATGCAAAGCTGAGCATTGGTGTTTTGACCTGGAACGCTGGAATGCCCTGGAGTACAGGGATTCCCCACTATTGACCCTGTCTGGTGAAAATAGGGGGGAATGCTCCATCTGACTATAATGAGCTTTGTGCCCATTAAGACAACACAGATAGATCCCAAATATAGTTTCAGTGATATAGGTCCCACATTCTTCATATGACATCCAAATATTTGGATATCCAAATTATACACTGAAAGTGTGTTTTGTTACATTCCTATTTAATAAAATTATAAATTTGCTCAGAGGAGAAAACAAACAACACATGTACACATTCTGTATCAATTATTTGCATAATATAAGGAGAGGAGACATATATTTTTATCCTGGAATCGGCTGCATAACTTGGGAGGAGGTTTAATAAGGTAAATGTAGCAGTCTTTTTACTCATTCTTCTTTCAAATGGAACCTTGCCAGGGGTGTGTACAGCACAATACGAGAGCAACTTTAACACAGATGCAGTAAACTATAACCCTGGTGACAGAAGCACGGATTATGGGATTTTGCAAATCAACAGCCGCTGGTGGTGCAATGATGGCAAGACTCCAAGAGCCAAGAATGCATGCAGAATCCAGTGCACAGGTGACACTATGAAGGGCATATTCCTCTCTTCTATACTGGGGTGGGCTCCCAGGGTTGCAAATGTATATCTGAGGGACAGTTGTGGGGAATTAGCAGCCCTACCTTAAAGACAAAAGTAAAAGCCTTATTCTTTAGTCAAAAGGCAGGGGTAGCAATTTATGGTCATGTACTAGGGCATAAAACAGAGCACTCCTAAAGGACATTTTCTGTCAGGATTTGTGTTGGGGTTTTTTTTAGGGTTTCTTTCTTTTTTAGACACTTCTGCCTCCCTTCCAGAGCAGCAGAGTTTACTTACCAGGTAGCCCTCTCTTGAGCAGAGTTAACTTTGGTCTCAAGAGCATGAAATTCACCCATGTGCATAAGACCACCCTAGATGACAGTAGTAGTATAATGTCCTGACCTAACCTTGTGGCGTTTTACAGATCACTAATGTTACTTTTATAAATCAATACTGTCCATTTGGAATCAAGTTCAGTTAAAAAAACAGTTGAAAGGGGTTAGAGGTATTTCAGCCATCCCTTAGTCTTCCTATCTACTCTTGTAGTTTTCCAATGATTTTTTTTATATCTTCTTTCCTGTGTTTCCATGTGAAAGACTTACACAAGTAACACAGGAAAATAGCTGACTCTCTTCCCAACCCAACAGTTCACAAGAGGGGGAGGTCACCCCTTGTTCACAAGACCAGCCCAGAGCTTTGGGTCAGGGCCAGATTAATGAATAGGCAAACTAGGCATGTGCCTAGGGCCCTGAGCTATGGAGGCCCTCAGTCCTTCCCTCTGCAGCAGAGGCGCCCCCCAGGCGGGCAGCTAGCAGCCCAGGGGCTGCCCCAGCTCAGAGTCAGCACCTGGCTCGATCCAACTGTTCCCTGAGCCCACCCATGTACCTGTGTGGAGATATGTGTGTGTGTATAATATATATTTTAAGTAGGGGCCCACAAGTTTGTTTGCCTAGGGCCCACTAAGTGGTTAATCCAGCCCTGCTTCTGGTCTCTTTTAATACCTTTTACTTGGACTCATTCAATACCTGTTCCAGCCAAAAAGCTCCCAAAAGCATAAGGTGGGGAAAAAGAGAATGTTTTTCCTCTCATTTCTTTCATTTATAGTGAATCTTAGATGTCATGGTTCAGCCAGCTAGCACCACAAGTTTCAGACAAGCATGCCTTTTTAAGTTAATGGGGTGCTGTTCTTTTATAATACTGGATAACAACTGCTTTGAAATAAGATAATTATCTAGCAATCAACACACAAATTCAAAACTGAGAGTAAAAGCAGGCCTTGCTATACTAGCTCTGTGTTTTTGCTCAGAAACTAGACAGAGAGGAACTTCAAAATTATTGCACTGGAACAGTCTATCGATCCTTCCAACCCAGTATCCTTTCACCAGTAAGTATCTGGTACCATGTTTCAAAGGCATATGCAAAAAATCTTGCAGTAGTCAGTTATGGAATAATTGACCTGTGAGAGAACAGGGGATACTCACACAATGCATCCTCCCGGCTACGAGCTCGAGGTCTCCCAGAATAAAGTCTCCATGCTACAGCAGGAACTTCCAGCGCGCACCTGATCAACTCTAACACCTCACCAGGTAAAGCAGATTGGGGAATCGCACCAGCCGGAGCAATATCCGGGGCCAGGCAGGGAGAGCAAAATTGGAAGCCGGCAGGCGGAGTGAAGGACCGCCACATCCCACCTGAGACTGAAACTCTGGAAACAAGGAAGAGAAAGGTAGGCTCGAGGGCTCAGAGAAGCCCTCCTCTAAGGGATGGAGAGAGTAAAAGAAGAATGCGGGAACTCTCTCCCTCGACTTAACATTTTGTTTCATTAATTAATCACCAGTGCTTTCAAATCAAGCCGGATACACCAGCAATCAAAATAGAAGAACGGGAGCAGCAGGGTTGGTTTCCATCCCAGCCCGGTTCCCTCTGGTTTTGTTTTCTCTCTCCCTTGGGGAATATCAAGTTGCTCTCCTCTGGCATCTTATTGGTGCCGAGCGTGGCAAGGATCTACTAGCAAGAGAGAGAAAGAAGTGGATGCTTCCCCTCAAGGTATGCCTTGCCCTGATTGACTGCCTCCCAAAACAATCAAGCCAGGCGTGGCGGCAATGTAAGTAAAGAAGAGACCCACTCTGTCCCAACGGGGAAGGCTCAGCCATCCATGGGAACATAGACCAAATAAAAGGAGTTGGCTGGACCCAACAAACTCAAAAAAGGACCCCGCTGGTCCAATAAATTTTCTTTTCAGTTCCTCAGTTCATTTGATGCCTTTCTTTTTCACCAGCACAGAGATCATAGTGTGAACCAGTAACCAGTGGCGTCGGGTGGTGGCATCAGCACTCCCTCTCTCCCCCTTCCTTTACACCTTCAAGAACCAGCAAACAAAAAAAGTCATGGCAGGAGGGAATAAGGGAGAGAGAGAGAGAAGGGGAGCCACCCCGAGCCAGCTACGCATGGTGTAAAAGACCAGCGAACAGCTGTCAGGTGTGAAGACACGCGTCTCTCCCCAGTAACTACCTGA